AGAAGTGTGTACACCAGGAGGACTAAAAGTGTGTATACTATAACTAGCAGTGTATACCAGGAGGCTAGAAGTGTATACCAGGAGTGACTGAAGTGTATACCAGGAGGACCAGCAGTGTGTATACCGGAGGACCAGCAGTGTGTATACCAGGGACTAGAGTGAGAACAGCAGTGTGTATACCAGAGGACTAGAAGTGTGTATACCAGGACTAGAAGTGTGTGTATACCAGAGACTAGTAGTGTGTATATTGGGACTGAGAGTGTGTATACTATACCAGGAGTGTGCATACCAGGAGGACTGCAGTGTGTATACCAGAGACCAGTGTGTATACCAGAGTGACTAGAAGTGTATACCAGAGGACTAGAAGTGTGTATACCAGGACTAGCAGTGTATACCAGAACTAGCAGTGTGTATACAGGAGGACTAGAAGTGTGCAGGACTGTGAGACTAGGTGTATACCAGGACAATCAGTGTGTATACACGAGAGGACTAGAGTGTGTATACCAGAGTATCAGTGTATACCAGGAGACTAGAAGTGTGTATACCAGAACTAGCAGTGTGTATACCAGAGGACTAGGAGTGTGTATACCAGAACTAGCAGTGTATACCAGGAGGACTAGAAGTGTGTATACCAGGAGGACTAGAAGTGTGTATACCAGGAGGACTAGAAGTGTGTATACCAGAACTTAAGTGTGTATACACAGGAGGACTACAGGGGTATACAGAGGACTAGAAGTGTGTATACCAGGAGGACTAGAAGTGTGTATACCAGAGGACTAGAAGTGTGTATACCAGGACTAGCAGTGTTATACCAGAGGACTAGAAGTGTGTATACTTATAACTAGCAGTGTGTATACCAGGAGGACTAGCAGTGTATACCAGGAGGACTAGAAGTGTGTATACCAGGACAATCAGTGTGTATACCAGGAGGACTAGAAGTGTGTATACCAGGGGACTAGAAGTGTGTATACCAGGAGGACTAGAAGTGTGTATACCAGAGACAATCAGTGTATACCAGGAGGACTAGCAGTGTGTGTATACCAGAGGACTAGAAGTGTGTATACCAGGACAATCAGTGTGTATACCAGGAGGACTAGCAGTGTATACCAGAGACTAGCAGTGTGTATACCAGGAGGACTAAAGTGTGTATGCCAGACAATCAGTGTGTATACCCGAGGACTAGAAGTGTATATACCAGGACAATCAGTGTGTATACCAGAGGACTAGTGTGTACACAGGACACAGTGTGTGTATAGGGGGAAGTGTGTATACCAGGAGGAGTAGAAGTGTGTATACCAGGAGGACTCAGCAGTGTGTATGCCAGGACAATCAGTGTGTATACCAGGAGGACTAGAAGTGTATACCCGAGGACTAGAAGTGTATATACCAGGAGGGACTAGAAGTGTGTATACCAGGACAATCAGTGTGTATACCAGGAGGACTAGCAGTGTGTGTACCAGGAGGACAAAGTGTAGTATACCAGACAATCAGTGTGTATACCAGAGGGACTAGCAGTGTGTATACCAGGAGGACTAGCAGTGTGTATACCAGAGGACTAGAAGTGTGTATACAGGACAATCAGTGTGTATTCCCGGAGGACTAGAAGTGTATATACCAAGACAATCAGTGTGTATACCAGGAGGACTAGCAGTGTGTACACCAGACAATCAGTGTGTATACCAGAGAGACCAGAAGTGTGTATACCAGGAGGAGAAGTGTATACCAGAGGACTAGCAGGTGTATACCAGGACAATCAGTGTGTGATAGGAGGATGAAGTGTGTATGGCAGGAGGATAGGTGTGTATACCAGGAGGACTGGAAGTGTGTTACCAGGACTAGCAGTGTGTATACCAGAGGACTAGGAGTGTGTATATCCAGGACTAGAGTGTATACCAGGAGGACTAGAACTGTGTACAGAGGACTAGGGGTGTTTATACCAGGAGGACTAGCAGTGTGTATACCAGGACTATAAGTGTGTATACCAGGACTAGCAGTGTGTATACCAGGAGGACTAGAACTGTGTATACCAGGAGGACTAGCAGTGTGTATACCAGGAGGACTAGCAGTGTGTATACCAGGACTAGAAGAGTGTATACCAGGATGACTAGCAGTGTGTATACCAGGACTATAAGTGTGTATACCAGGACTAGCTGTGTTTATACCAGGAGGACTAGCAGTGTGTATACCAGGACTATAAGTGTGTATACCAGGACTAGCTGTGTTTATACAAGAAGGACTAGCAGTGTGTATACCAGGACTATAAGTGTGTATACCAGGACTAGAAGTGTGTATACCAGGAGGACTAGCAGTGTGTATTCTGTTTCATATGTCTATGTATTTACATAATATTAAGGTTTGTACTGTATATTTTTTTGTATCAGTCACCGATGCATGAGCAGTTTTTTATGAACCAAGCATAAACGAAGGATGTGTGTACTCTGTTTTGGGACTATGAAATTCCGAATATTTTGTAATCATATGTAATTATGTATTTATATGAAGAAGTTTTGAGGTAATAGTTTAATTATTATGGAAGTTGTACTGTTTTTGCCTTTCTAAACGCTCTTTCTCTCCAGGCAGACACAGGGTGTGAACTCGAACCAGGAATGTGACTATATTTTATTTCACCCTCTGTGTATCTCATCGTTTGTTATTAATTTGCTCACCAGTGTTAAGGGTGAATGCTGGGTGATACTTTGCGAATGGCGGGAGAACCATATTATGGAATTAAGGCAAATAAGCTATTAAATTAGTTGGGTCACAGGACCAAGCAGTATTATTGTCTGTACTTTTTTTTATTGTAGATATATTAAGTTTTAGTTGTTATAAGTTATTGTTACTTTGAACCCTGATTACACGACTTAAGGAATAGTTAACTTGGATGTATGCTCACAGGGTGATTATACGAAATGTTATGTTCAACTGCCAGCTGGAGGTAGCAAAGGATTGTCTTCATGATTTTGGTCAGTTAACCAAAGCTGTTATTTCAGAACGTTTATCTGATTAATGGGCCTGAGTGTTGAAGCACTGCTGAAAGAGGAGAATTATTCAGTAGTGATCGTGACAATATCAGGACTAGCAGTGAGTCTCCGAGGAGGACGAGCAGTGAGTCTCCCAGGAGGACTAGCAGTGAGTCTCCCAGGAGGACTAGCAGTGAGTATACCAGGAGGATTAGCAGTGTGTATAACAGTATATTGTCTTCACCAATGAGACCACAGCTAGCCGTTTACCAACTTCATATATCGCTTGGGTGGTCTGCACACCTTAATTAATTTCATCGGTTCCATTGGTACTTTCATGGCAAACACAAGGCTGGAAGATATCATGGATGTTGCATTTGGTGGAGTCTATAATTGTAAGTGGAAAGAAGTATCCACAAGCTGAGGAATGGCCAGAAATAGTATTTTCCTGGTGAATTTTGTCAGCCATTTTAAATATAATTTATAAACTTGGCTCTTTAGATGTATCTGGTGTATTCCATAATCCTCATGGACTACAAATACGTGGGTTTTTGCATTAAAATGAACTCTCTATCTCGATCTGAAGCTGAGATATGGCCAAAAATGGTATTCACAGGTGGCAGTGGCAGCCACTTTGAATTGGGTCAATAAAATGTTGTCCCTAAAGGTGCCAGCTTGGCACCCAGCTAATTTATGATTAGTGGGACCTAATCTACCAGAAACAACAGGGTTCCACTCCAGTTAGCCACTCTACCACCGGACTATTAGGTTAGGACGAAGCTACGCTCTTACGAAGTAGGTTCTACTGTAGAACCTACTTATCATCAGTGAAAAGTTTTAAAACAGAAAAAGAAACACAGAATTTACATACATACATACATACATACATACATATATACATTCATACATACATTCATACATACATACATACATACATATGATACATACATACATACATATGATACATACATAAATACATACATACATACATACATACATACATGCATACATACATACATACATACATACATACATACATATGATACATACATACATACATATGATACATACATAAATACATACATACATACATACATACATACATGCATACATACATACATACATACATACATACATACATACATACATACATACATACAGGCGAAAGCTAAGGTGCTCCATTGTTTCCCTTTTCCTGTGTGGTTTTACCGAGATTTATCAATTTCAATTTCAATTTCAATTGTTTATTCCTTGATAGAGGAAGCGGGATCCTAGTGCTATCACTACGTACCCCTGTACAATGACACCAGAATCATCTGGCAAGTGTGAAAAGTATATACAGTATAAATATTATAAAGGGGCTTACTAAAGCCTAAGGAAGGAAGGATGTTCCTTTAACACATAATCAATATTATTTACAAAATATCTGGCCAGTATTGGGAGGATCATCGTGTCTCCGTCAGGTGGTCGTGGAGTGGTGGTCCAGCAGGCGTCACGGAAGCGTTGTGTGTCGGGACATCTTAGGAGGTAGTGAATAAGGGTGCGGCTGTCGGGTCTTCTGCATAACGCACAAGAGCGTTGCTCAGGGGATGTGGGGATACCAATCTCCCAAGCAAAGTCATACCCAATGATGATACGGGCAGCAATCACGTCCCCCTTCCGCGACCCTTTCCCGTAGACATACGAGAGGTTAGGAAGTTTACGGAGGACATCGTACCATGTGGGCGGATTTATCCTGTCCACGTTTCCATTAATGGATCTACAAGATATATATATATATATATATATATATATATATATATATATATATATATATATATATATATATATATATATATATATATATATATATATATATATATATATATATATAATATATATATATATATATATATATATATATATATATATATATATATATATATATATATATATATATATATATATATATATATATATATATATATATATATATATATATATATATATATATGTGTGTGTGTGTGTGTGTGTGTGTGTGTGAATAATAAGACCACCAACAAATGAATAAACAGCAAAATATTTATTTGGTAACGTGTCGACAATAACCCTTGTCATCACCTGACCTAAAACATGAAGTAATAGAAAAAATCAATTCAGTACAGCAAATAATCTAGCCGTAGTAGCCGTAACCGCCACCATTGCCGCCACCGCCGCTGTAACTGCCGCCATAGCTGCTGCCGCCATAACCGCCACCATAGCTGTTGCCGCCATAACCGCCACCATAGCCACCGCCACCACCGTAGCCTCCGAGGTTGGCTCCATGAGATTTGGCGAGGGCTTTGGTGGCAGCGGCGGTGGCCTGGGCAGCAGCGCCAGCACTAGACTGCAGCTGGTGATTGGCCAGGGCACTCTGCAGGGACAGGGAGTTTGCCTGCTGCTGGGCATAGTGGGCTTCAGCTGCCTCTGCTGCTGCGTTGGCCGAGGCTCTGTAAAAGTTGTGTCTGGCGTACTCCAGATCAGCGTGGTTGCCATAACCACCTCCGTAGTGGGAATTTTCTTGATTATACGCCCAAACCTTTCTGGCATAGGCGGTTTGGGCGGCACCAGCAGCCGCAGCAGCCTGACTGCCTTGCCTGAAAGCGTTCGCCTGCGTTGCTCCCAGTGCATGGCTAAGTTGGGCTGCCTGTGCATAGTTCGCAGACGCAGCATGATTGGCTCTACTAGCGGCACTGGCTGCGACACTTGCTACGCCACGAGCAGCGCCAGCGGCTGCAGAGTGTGCAGCACTGCCTTGGCTGGCAGCGGCAGCCGTGGCGTGAAACGCAGCCTGGTTAGCGATCTGGGAAGACGAGGGACCGTGACCACCTCCGCCCACTACTAGGTAGGAGGTGCCTCCACTACCATAGCCACGCCTCACCTGAAACAGTGGTAAAAGTAATATTAATGCTTTGTTCATACCTGCTAACCTGTACTGTACTGTACTACAGAATTTTGTACTGTCACTAAAATAGGGCTCTGCAAAACTACAAGAAGATCAAAACAAATTTTTCACATTCTCTGAAAAATGGCAGATGATATTTAATGTGAACAAATGTAAATTACTTATTCTAGAAGATGTAAACAGAGAAACCAGACATCAGATGAACAGCGTTGATATACAAAAATCTGATTGAGAAAGATTTAGGTGTAATGATAAGTATATTTGCTGGAAACAAGCCTAACAAAGTACTTGGGTTCATACAAAGGATTGTTGGTTGCAAGATTAGCGAGGTTATCCTATAATTATATATTGCGCTTGTGAGACCTTACTTGGATCAGGCATTTTAGTTTTGGTCACCATACTACAGAATGGATATCGAATTCCTAGAAAGCTTACAGAGGAGGATGACAATACTAATCCCGGGCATTAGGAACCTTGAGTACAGAGACAGATTAAAGCATCTGAATTTGCATTCCCTCGCGAGAAGTAGAGTGAGGGGAGAAATGATCGAGGTGTATAAATGGAAGTCAAGGCTAAACAAAGCTGATATAATAAAGGTACTCAAACTACCCAAGAAGGAGCGAACTCGTAGCAATGGCTTTAAATTAGATAAATTTAGATTGAGGCGTGAGATAGGTAAACACTGGTGTAGAAATAGAATTGTGGATGAGTGGAACAAATTACCGAACTTCATCATTAAATCGAATACGCTCGGTAGCTTCAAACATAGGTTGGATGGTTATATGAGCGATAGGGTTTGGGTGTAAACGGGACTGCCCAGTATGGGCCAATAGACCCGCAGCAGTTTCCTCCATTCTTCTGTTCTTATGTACTGTACTGCACTGTACTATACAATACTATACTATACTATACTATACTATACTATACTATACTATACTATACTATACTATACTATACTATACTATACTATACTATACTGCACTTTACTATACTGTACTGTGGTGTACTGTAATGTGTAAGACGCCATCACAAGATTGTATTTAATTCAATTATTAATGTTATTTAGAACATTAGCATAACTAATAGCAGGTTCGATACTGTGTAGGAGATCAGCTCACACGACGTCACGGATCATACTACCAGTATCCCAGACTAACTAGAAATTAATTCCATATGGATAGATCATGAGACATGGGGCCATGTGACGCTTAACCCCGCCTCTCTCTCTTGATCATGCGGTTATGTCTGTGTGAGACACAGCTGTACGACATAGTTTCTCAAGCCTCCTATAATAGCTTCCACATGTATCGATCACGAGGCTATGACCGTTTGGCGTCACATGACCCAAGGCGTCACATGACTATGAGGCGTCTCAAGGCGTCGCTAACCCTAGTCGCTATCTGTAAGAGTGAGTAGAGTTAGTCTGTCACTGGCCGAGACTCAGTACACACATTTAGCCCATACAGCAGGCTAGATCCTTCGTCTCGGCAGATTCTGTACATAGCTCGGTTAATACAGAAACAACCCTGTACAAGACTATATTTCATCCCTTCTCAACTTTATTAAAGAAGAAAATTAATAGGAGGAGAGTGTATATAAATCTGGACTTTGGTAATATCCACAACCAGGAAGAAAGATCAATTACCAGTCAAGGCCGCTCGGACTCAGAAACTACAAATGTATTATACTGTACTGTACTTTACTGTACTATGCTGTACTGTACTGTACTGTACTGTACTGTACTGTACTGTACTAAATTACACTGTTTGTTATCACCGCTGGCTTCAGCTACACAGTGCTGGCATTTGTGGCTCTACCGGTGTGCCCTCTACGAGTGGCACCTTACCAAACAAACATAAAGTGTTACCGCCCACAGGGAACCGCGTGGACAGTGTTAATAAATTGTTAGACATAGTTTAGTTATGAGAGTATTGAAGAATGTAGGAAAGGGGAGTGGAGCGAGCTAAAGGGATGTTTACAGCCGAGTGGTCTTGGGTTTCTGCTGAGTAGACAGTTCTGCAGGCACTGTGACTGTCTGTCTGGCCTGCCTGACTCCAGACCACGATCTACAGCGATACTGTGAGGATCTCCACTCTCTGCTGGCAGTAGTGAACACACGCCATCACAGTCCTGTCCCTGCTAAGACAATTTACGCAGTACTGTTTTCTCTTGGAACACCATACTGATTTACTTGGACACGCACTTGTAAGTACAGCCTACGTGATGACGTACCCCTCAGTACTGAAATATTGTTGACTAATTACGCCTACTCGTTTCTGCCTTATCTGGAGTAATAAGACAATACGGAATGAAGCGTAACTAAGATTAATAGAGTTAAGAACTTTGTATTATGTCACTATGTTTAATGATCTTATGTAGTTAAGATAAAATTGTGTGAGACTAACTAATTATGCATCAGATGGATCACCATGTAATACTAATGAACGCCTTGTTCTCTGCAGATTTTGATATCAATAAATATCGAGTGCGTCAAAAGGCGGGTTTCAATCATTCCCATCGACTTGCCCGTCACCCGACCGTCCTTCACTAAGGCGGTTTCACTGTACTATACTGTACTCTACTGCAACCTCATTCCCAACGTCAACACTGCACACCCAATAAACCAGTCATGGTTGGTATCCCTAAACTAATATTTTCTCACACACAATGGCAGAGCTCCTAACTTCATTATGGCAGGATTCCCTACTTCATTATGGTAGTGTTCCTTACTTCATTATAGCAGTGTTACCTACTTCATTATGGTAGTGTTCCTTACTTCATTATAGCAGTGTTCCTTACTTCATTATGGTAGTACTCCTTACTTCATTATAGCAGTGTTTCTTACTTCATCATGGTAGTGTTTCTTACTTCATTATAGCAGGGTTCCTTACTTCATTATGGCAATGTTTCTTACTTCATTATGGCAGTGTTTCTTACTTCATTATGGTAGTGTTTCTTACTTCATTATGGTAGTGTTTCTTACTTCATTATGGTAGTGCTCCTTACTTCATTAAGGCAGGGTTCCTTACTTCATTATGGCAGGGTTCCTTACTTCATTATGGCAGGGTTCCTTGCTTCATTATGGTAGTGTTCCTGACTTCATTATAGCAGTGTTCCTTACTTCATTATGGTAGTACCCCTTACTTCATTATGGCAGTATTTCTTACTTCATTATGGTAGTGCTCCTTACTTCATTATAGCAGTGTTTCTTACTTCATTATGGCAGTGTTTCTTATTTCGTGATGGCATTGTTTCTTATTTCAATATGGCAGTGCTCCTTACTTCATTATGGCAGTGTTTCTTACTTCATTATGGCAGTGTTTCTTACTTCATTATGGCAGTTTTTCTTACTTCATTATGGAAGTGTTTCTTATTTCATTATGGCAGTGTTCCTTACTTCATTGTGGCAGTGCTCCTTACTTCATTATGGCGGTGTTTCTTACTTCATCTCAGGCTAATGAAACTACTTAGCCACGGGGACCCCCTTGGCAGCCTTAACCCCTAATAAGCTGAAGTTCTCGGTCCATTGCGAGAAGAAAGTGAATCAGGCAACTAAATTATTAGGTCGTAAAAGAAGGTCGTTCAGACATCTAGACGATCCGTCTGGGGTACTGTCACCTCGTTTGGTCCATGAGATATGCTAGGGACTGTTAGTTGGTTGAAAATGTCCAAAGGAGGGCCACCAGGCTGGTGCCAGCACGTTCGGCACCTCAGCTACCCTGAGAGATTAGAGCGCCTGCAACTGCCTAGCTTATATTACAGACAGGCAAGGGGGGGCCTAATTGAGGTGTATAAACATCTCAATGGGCGCTACTCACTCGAGTGCCCTTACCTGGAGCTGGCGGACGCTCGCCCCACAAGGGGTCTCAGCTCAAAATTGAAGAAGCCACATGTCCAGAAAACTGTGAGGGCAAACTTTTTTCGGAGTGAGAGTTGTGAACTCTTGGAACAACCTGCCAGAAAGTGTTGTGACGGCACCGAGTGTGTGCTCCTTCAAGACCAGACTTGACCAACACTGGTGCAGGTTCAGATACATTGAGGAGCCGGTGCATGCCCAGTACTTGCCAACAGTGCGTAACAGAGATGCGACCGATCGCCCAAGCGGCTAACGAGCCGATCAGTGGTGAAGAGGATAAATGTAAAGAAAACAAAAATGTACTGTTATAATTACACTGTTGGGTGTCGTACAGTACAGTACAGTACAGTACAGTACAGTACAGTACAGTACAGTACAGTACAGTAAAATACAGTACAGTACAGTACAGTACAGTATAGTACAGTACAGTACAGTACAGTACAGTACAGTACAGTATAGTATAGTATAGTCATTGTACCATCAGTAAAGTGAACCAAATAAAGATAAAACTATTATTGTACTTTATCTCAACACACATTCTGTTCAGCACGGATGTTAAGATCATCCAGTATCTGGAATAGCTGTAGTGGCCTGGGTGTGTCCTCACCTCCGGTCACGTCTGTGTGGTCGCTGCCACTCTCCTTTTCACCACTACACCGCCACCTGTACCCACTCAACACACGACCTGTACAGATAGTAGTCACCATGTGTTTGGTGGCGCCTTCCTTCCTCAAAATCTCACAAATATGTTTTGATAATCACAGATCAGTTATTCTACTGGAGTGCTTAACAACATTTCGTAAAGACCTTTTACAGAGAATACTGTCACCCCTTTATAAGCTTAAATAATTAGTCAACACAGTAACTTCCAGGAAAAAGTAAGTGTGCAACATGAGCAAGAGTGCACACACGTCCATAGGTGTGGCACACATGCGGCCGTCACTGCTGGTGGCTGCCGACCGTACCTTAACCGTCTCTATCTATTGCCACTGACAGCAAATAAATCAACGTAACCAATAATTATAACACCTACAGATATTGTACCATCGTTACCTACATTACGTACTTCACCTACACCATCCTTACCTACTGTACTAATTTGCTGTCACTCGGAATCGAG